CCCATCCAAGTAGGGCGGCAGGCAGTCCCAGGATCCTAAGGCAGCTTGAGGTGGGAAAGTGTGGCGTGAAGAAACACCCAACAAACATCTACAGAGTAGCATGTTGCTTGGTGCAAAGTAGTGCAGCATTTATCCTGAGGGGACACAAGTAGATAGGAGTGTGTGTATGTGTGAAGAATAGTCATAAAGGTAACCCGAAGGAGGTGAATATTGGATCACCTTGAACAAGGTGAGAGACAAAGTGGAATCAGAGAAACACATGGAGTAATTTGTGTGTAAAGGAGAGGAGGGAAGCCATTGAGTCAGGAGGAGCCAAGAAGAGTTATGGCATGGGCCTTGTTGAAAGACTTTGAATGTTAAATTGGAGATTCTGTAGGGTGAGCAATAGAGACCCACCACTGATTGTCAAGCAAGAAAATGTTGGATCCTTGCTGATTTAACTACAAGGGTTTCAGGGGAAATGCTGGAGTGAAAAAACAGACCTGCTTCCTGTGGCAAGGACTGTACTTTTAAGGGAGTAGGGCTGGAAGGCAGATTCGATCTAGTCCTGGCTCTGTCCCTAACCAGCTGTAGGAATTGTTATTCCCCTAGTTTTCTCATCTGAAAAAAGAGGGCTACCTTGGGTGGAGGCCAGAGTCCCCTCTCCGTCTCTGACATCCTGTGTTCCCTGAATAACTAAGAGGCCTTACGATGACTTTGTTTTGTGGGACTTGTCAAGACCATTCAGTCATTAAGGCAATATTTGTTAGCACCTACTGTGTGTCAATAGCAGGTAGTGAGGAAAATTCAATGGGGATAGGCAAAAGCAAATATTTCATTGATTCCAAGACTCACAATCTAACATTTCTGAAGGCAAGATGCATCTTGAAATCAATGGAGTAGAATGATTTAATTGGCAGGCATTTGTTTTTTGTTAATGCCACATAATAGTAAATCAGAATTGTATAAATAACTATAAAATTCCAGGGGATAATTGCTGATGGGAAAGGTATATGGTGTACAAGCATGTAAAGGAGGGTACTGACTGGTCTGCTGGGTTGGAGGAAGACTTTTTTGAGGAAATGATGGCTGATAGATGTGAAGGATATGTAGTTGAGATGTGTGGGGTTGGTGGGAAGATTACCTCATGCAAAGGTGGGTGCCTGACGTGGAGAATTGAGAGAAGGTGAGTGTGGCTGGAGCACAGACCCAGGAGCTAGCAGGGGTGAGTCTGGCAAAGCAGTTGGGAGCAAATCTATTATAGCCTCCCAGGTCCGAGGCAGAAGTTTTGGTCTTTACACTAAGAACAGTGGGAAGCCATTGAAGAGTTTTTTTGTTTGTTTTTAATAAAAGCCTAACATGCTAACTGCCATTGAAGAGTTTTAAGCAGGGAAGTAACATGGTCTGAGGAGCATTTTTAAAAATATATATTTTTATTGATTTTGGGGAGGGAGAGAGAGATCGAAATAAAGATAGAGAATCATTGATTGGCTGCCTCCTGCACGCCCCCCACTGGGGATCGAGCCCAAAACCCGGGCATGTGCCCTTGACCGGAATCAAACCCGGACCCTTTAGTCCCGCAGGCCAATGCTCTATCCATAGAGCCAAACTGGTAGGGCCTGAGGTGCATTTTGATGAGCTCATTATGGCTGCAGATTAGTGAGAGACCCAATGAAAGGGTTGGTAGGCATGAAGGAGGAAATGGAGAGGAGTAGATGGATTCCAGAAATCTTTAGGAGGTAAAATTAATAGGACTCAGCGATGTATTGAGAAGGAAGAGGGAGGTGTGGAGAGTGACACTCAACATTTCTAATCTTGGACAACTGGGGCACCAGTCTCTGACATGGGCAACAAACCACTGGAGCCTGGTAGGACCCACAAAGATAGTTACACAGCATTTGGGAAGGTAGAGTGGATCCTAAGGCAGCTTGAGGTGGGAAAGTTTGGCACAAATAATTGGATTTCTTCCCATATGATTAGTTTCTGACTTCCCGTGCTAAGGAAAGTATTGGGGCAAGAGCAGGTATGATACAGGACTAGAGGAGTTGAACACTGAGAAAAGGTGATTCACGTTGGAGTAGTTTGGCTTACCCGCTTCTCTCCTTAGGGACAAGAGGGGCAGGAAGAGAGGAAGCACAGATATTGGTAAAGGTAGAGATTAGAAAGTATTTTTAAAAGCTGAGATTTCTTAGGCAGATGGCTTGATCTGCCTTGGAAGCAAAGAAGAGTCCCGGCCTGCGTGGCTCAGTGGTTGAGCATTGACCTATGAACCAGATCATGGTTTGATTCCCAGTTAGAGAACATGCCCGGGTTATGGGCTTGATACCCAGTATGGGGCGTGCGGGAGGCAGCTGATCAATGATTCTCTCTCATCATTGTTGTTTCTCTCTCTCCCCTTCCTCTCTGAAATCAATTTTAAAAAACCACACTATTAAATCTTTTTTAAAAATGAGAAAGCTACATTAAAAATAAGTAAGTGAGCCGAAACCAGTTTGGCTCAGTGGATAGAGCATCGGCCTGCGGACTGAAGGGTCCCAGGTTCGATTCCGGTCAAGGGCATGTACCTTGGTTGCGGGCACGTCCCCAGTGGGGAGTGTGCAGGAGGCAGCTGGTCGATGTTTCTCTCTCATCGATGTTTCTGACTATCTCTCTCCTTTCCTCTCTGTAAAAACTCAATAAAATATATTTAAAAAAAAAAATAAGTAAGTGAAAAGAAAAGCATAGTCCAGAGGTCTAAGGGACACGGAGCACTATGCAGGACTCTGGTGCCTTCCTTTAAAAAAAAAAAGAGCTGAGATTTCTCAACAAAGAAATAATTAATTGGGCAGCAGCAAGGTGGCCATTGGATCACCTTTCCTGGGTCTCTTCCCTATCCCCCCCGCCCCCCCTTTCAAGCAAAGAGGAGGAATGGCAGGGCCTTTTGGCTACATTTCCACACCGCAGTTTGCTCAAAGTTTTTTTGAATGGGTGACATAGTCATATGATTGCATATTTAAAAGTTACAAAAGGGCATATAGTGATAAATCTCCTTTCCACCTCAGTCCCCCTCCCACCAATTTGTCATCTCTTGTTTCTGATTTTTATACAAGTGATAAAACTTTGCAACACTTTGCTTCTCCCCCATTTGTTAATATATCTTAGAGGTTGTTTCATATCAAAACAATGAGCTTCTTCATTTTTTATGCCTGCATAGTATTCCATTTTATGTTTGTAGTTTCGTAGTTCCGTATTGGTGGATATTTAGGCTGATTCTAATCTTTCGTTTCTACAAATAATGCTGAAATGAAAATCTTGTGTAGACATCATTTTGGCCATATGGGGCTTTATCTGTAGGATGAATATTTAGAATTGGAAGGTTCTATATAGAGAGAATTTTTCACTCTTGTCATTCATCTATCCAGTATTTATTGAGTGCCCATTATGTGCCAGATACTCTTGCATGTTCCAGGAATCCAACTTTCAACAAGTCAGACATGATCCCTGCCCTTGTGGAATGTTACTACCCTCTATTAAAAGGAAACAAAAAAGGAGACCAGACAGAGAATAAACTGGGAGGATCTGCTTTAAATAGAGTCAGGAAGACTTCTTAGAGTAAGTGATATTTAAGCTGAGAACTAGATGGGACATGGCCAACCATTAGGTGTAGGATGGGGAAACCTAGGCTATTCAGAGCCTCCCCCAGAGGCAAGGAGTTCAGGATCTGTAGGGGATCATACTGGGGCTAGCGTAGAGGTGGAAGTGAAAAGACCCCGGTAGTGTGAGGGTAGGGTGAGCTGTCTGTCTCTTTCATACTCCTTATCTGTGTTTTAAAAATATCCCACATAAGTCAGGGGAGGGGGAGTACAGCTAAAGAGATGAAGGGGGTGATTGGGAGTGGAAGATATCAAAGAATGAGTGACTAAAGATGAGGCCAGATAGGGGAGGGGTCTGGTAGTAGAGGAGAGTTAGGGAGACTAGTACTTATGAAGGACTATTTATTATTTGTGTTTAGAGGGCTCTGTACCTGGCTGAATTCAGGTGGGGAAACAGGAAAAGAGGCCACTTCCTTCCTGGATATTTTATGAATGAGAGGCCACAGTTTAACTGGTCTGAGGGAGGCACAGCTTTGCCTGCAGACAGGAGAGTGGATGAAATGCCTTGGGCAGAGCCAGTCTGCCTGTAGTACAGCCTCCAACCTTTCTGTGGCTTTAGCAAAATGGAAACTTCTAAATTAAAGATGACATTGAAGGGACTCAGCCAGCTGGCTCTGGGCTGATGGAAGAGAGAGCAGACCTATCCAGGGCTCAGAGCTGGGAGTGGGCAGGAAGTTGGTCTTGGAGACTCTTTCTCTGAAGTTTATACTCCTTTTTTATCCTCACCCCTCTGTTTCCCTTTTGCAAACGCCCATCTCTTTGCCTATCCTGGGTCCTATGACTTTTCTCTCCCTCAACAGTCGGTTCCCGATTCTGGTCCCCGGCCCCCAGCAGCGCCTGCCCCCTTCCCACCGGGGCCCCCCATGATGCCACCACCCTTCGTAAGTTTTATGCCTTTCCCTGGGCTTGGCTTTTCCAGCCTGCACCCTTTAATTCCCCAGTCCCTAGCACTGCTGCACGGTTTTCATGTAAAAGAACTCTTTTCTGCTAACCTTGGAAGAGGGATGGTTTTGTTGGGTTATTGGGGTGGGAGATGCTGCTGTTCAGCTCTCCGTTCAGAAAGTTGACAGTTCCTCCTTTGTCTTTTTGTCCTGGGGACATACTGGGGCTAGCGTAGAGGTAGAAGTGAAAAGACCCCGGTAGTGTGAGGGCAGGGTGGGGTGACTGTCTCTCTCACTTCTTATCTGTCTTTTAAGAATATGCCACATAAGTCAGGCTGGAGTAGCAACTGATGGTCACTGAATTGGAGAAAAAGGGGTGGGAGGCAGGGCACTAGGGATTTGGGTACCTGGACACACGCCTTTTGGCCCTGCATCTGAGAAGCCTCTGAGGAGAGTTGCTAAAGAAATGGAGCCTTCCAGCTGCAGTCTGGTGATGGTTGTACTTTCTTTTCCTTCTCCCTTCCTTACCTCTCAAGAAGCTGTGTGCTTGCCTGTTAGACCCAGAGGACCCCCCAGTTACCAGTCTTTCTCAGTTGTGAGGGGGGTAGCAGTTTCATACTTTGTGCTTAGCAAGCTAAACTTTGGAATTGCCTCAGAGCCAGGGTGGAAGGTTCAGGTGAGAGATAAGTGGATGTTTTCTGCCAGAACCAAGGCAGTGTCTTCTCTGCTCAGCATCTCTTCTTTTCCTCATTTCCAGATGCCCCCTCCAGGAATCCCTCCGCCCTTCCCTCCGATGGGGCTACCGCCCATGAGTCAGAGACCACCCGCCATCCCCCCCATGCCACCTGGCATCATGCCCCCAATGCTACCACCAATGGGGTCACCACCACCACTCACACAGGTAATCCTCTCCTCTGCACCAGGACCTCAGAAAACCTGTCCGTTTATCTGGGGATGGAGATGAGAGTTGGGGATCTGGACTTCAGGAACTGGGGAGGGGAGGCAGGGAGCTTTGGCACAGGCCAATGTGGATCCGTCTGCTGAATGACTGGAAAAAACTCTCAGGCTAGGCTAGAAGCCCATCATCCCTCAGGGGGTTGCCCGAGGAGGTGCCCGCCCGTGTGAAGATCATGAACACAACAGAATCTCGTAGGTCCCTGCCAAGCCTGTGCCTGCCCCCACCTCAGGAGCTGGTTTTGGTCTTTATATCCATAGATACCAGGAATGGTACCTCCCATGATGCCAGGAATGCTGATGCCTGCAGTGCCTGTCACCGCAGCGGTAAGCACTGGGGCCAGCAGGAAGCAGCTCTGTATTTCAGCACTGTGGGGTCTGATTGGGAGTTCAGGGATATGGCCTCCATTCTTTCTCTCTTCTCATCGGATCCATCCTGGTCCCTGTCAGCATTCCCCACACTTGAGTCCTCTCCAGCCATGTACTTAGCTCTTCTTGTTTCTCACTCTTCCCCAAAGGCATATACATTCTCTGTTATTCGCCATTGTGTCCATCTCCCTTAAGGAACACACTCATGCCAGACACTGCTTGACCTCACAGAGCTAGCACTGTGGACGCTTAAATACAGTCCCTCTTCATGTCTTTTTAGTCTCTGGAGAAAACAACAGCACTTGAGGATCTCGCTGTGCCTTCTTGTGCTGTTGCTCAGTGTAGTAGAGTCTGGGTAGGATGTAGAATTTGGCATCCACTGTGGAAGGGATGGGTCTCAAGAAAATACTCTCCCGTGAGGAAAACGAAGAAAGGAGTCGCTATATGATTCCCCCCGGGGATCCTAGAGCCACCACCCGGGAGGGTGGGGCAAGCATGTTAGGTAGCAGGATACACGGATCTTGGCCTGGCCTGCTTCCCGATCCCCCATGGCCTGGGTCCTGGGGGCCACTGGGCTTGGCCCCAACCCTTCCCCCTCCTCTTTCTTCGGCAGACGGCTCCAGGTGTGGACACCGCCAGCTGTGAGTCTTCTGGGGGCCTGCTCCCCCCAGGCTCGGAGGTCGGGGGGTACAGGGGAGAGGGGACTAGAGTCCACCCTGGATCATGCCTGTTGGGATGCCAGGGAGCCTGGGATGTTGATGGGACCAGGGGATGTATATTGGGGATGGAGTAAGGGAGGAATAGATGGGGATAAGATGCAGGTTGAAGCAAGGACTTAGTATCTTTCCTTTGGCTTCTTTTCTAGCTGCTGTGGCTGGGACAGGCCCTCTGGTGAGTTCTTCCAGCTCAGGGATCTCTGGGTAGAAAGGCTGAAAGTGGGGGGCTAATGGTTTAGTCTTTGGGGTGAGGAGAAGCTTTGGGAAAGGGGCCTTGACCACCATTCTGTGCCCCCCCTCCCCCAGAGGGCCCTATGGAGTGAGCATGTAGCCCCTGATGGGCGCATCTACTACTACAATGCTGACGACAAGCAGTCCGTGTGGGAGAAGCCCAGCGTGCTCAAGTCCAAGGCGGAGGTCCTGAGCTGGGCTTTCTGGCCCTTCCTTTCAGCTGCCCTGACCCTTCCAAGTGCTTGATCTCCCCTGAGTCTCTAAACCATACACATTATCGTTCCTCTGATCCCAAGATCCCTGACAACCCCAACCTCCCTAGGATCTCAGGAAGTCCATCTTGCCCCATGGTGAGCCAGGCCAGGTGGTAGCTAAAAACTCCTGGGTCCCTCTACTCACTGTATCCCCTTAGTTCCATCAGCCCACTGATGTCATCTGACCCATCTTCTTACAGCTGCTGCTGTCCCAGAGTCCCTGGAAAGAGTACAAGTCGGACACAGGCAAACCTTACTACTATAACAACCAGAGTAAGGAGTCCCGCTGGACCCGGCCAAAGGACCTGGATGACCTTGAGGGTGAGGATGGTGGACCTGGATAGGGGCCTGTGGAGGGTGGCCCTTGCTACCCTGTGACCATGTATCTTTTCCCATTGCAGCTCTAGTCAAACAGGAGGCTGTAGGGTAAGTAACTTGCTCATCTTGCCCCCCTATCCATCCATATTTGGGCCACCTGAGGGGTGGGACTGGACTCTCTCCCCATGATCCCTGCTCTGGAAGGAAGAGCAAATGCTCAGTCTCCTTGTGGAGTGGTTCACTCTGTCCCCAGTCCCTCGCAGAATAGAGTCCTGCCAGCCCTTGACCACCTCTCCCTGCTCCATTCTGGATTCTGCCCTTCCGGCTCGCCTGCAGGAAACAGCAGCAGCCCCAGACACTACAGACACAGCCTCCTCAGTCACAGCCTGAGCCCCCACCTGCACCTCCTGGCCCCACCCCACTGCCTATGAGCCTCCTAGAACCCGAGCCAGGTGGGAATGAAGATTGCGATGTGTCAGATGCTGTCCAGCCCCTGGAGCAGGGGTTCCTGCAGCAGCCAGAGGAGGGCCCCAGCAGGTGAGGCTGTCCCCACAGCATTCTGGATGCTGGCCTCGGGTTGCCAGCCTGGTTCAACCTTTAACCTCTACTAGGCCTCTTGGGAAGGATCTGGGGATCTGGGCATGACCTCTAAAAGGCAGAAAAGGGCTGCCCTAGGGAGCAAGAAGAGGGTGGCTTGCTGTTGATCACCAGGGCACTGAAGCTACGGGGTCTGGGGGATGTGGTGGCTGAGTCTCCTTTGCTTCCCCAGTTCTGCTGCACAGCATCAGCCACCACAGCAGGAGGAAGAGGAATCAAAGCTAGAACCAGAGAGGTCTGGCCTCAGTTGGAGTAACCGTGAGAAGGCAAAGCAGGCCTTTAAGGAGCTGCTGAGGGACAAGGTACGGGAGATGGGGCTCCCAGGGTAGGCCTGGAGGGGGCTGGAGGGGGCCAGGCTCTGTGACACCCACCTGCTCCATTCCAGGCTGTCCCCTCCAATGCCTCATGGGAACAGGCCATGAAGATGGTGGTCACCGACCCCCGTTACAGGTAGGCCTGGGCAGAGGGAGCCAGGCCTTCAGATCCTGTTCATGAGAGCAGCTGGGTCAGGGACTCCCTGAGAAACCCCAGCTCGATACTTGGGCTCCAAGAGGCCAGGGTCAGGAGGGCGGTAGATGAGTGAAGGTTCAAGTGGAAGAGAAGCTATAGAGGACCTCCAGGAGGGAAAGGTGTCTGACATGAGACATTCAATAAATGCTTGTTGAACTGAAGTGATTTGAATTAATTGGGGGAAGGGGGGAGGTTAGGGCAGATCCCTGACTGCAACTTGAGCACCCCAAAGCCTAAGGGCCGGGTATTATCAGTGTCCTGGAACCCGTCTCTTCCCCTCACTGCCTCTCACCCTTCCCCACATCCCAGACATTTTTCTTGCCTCCCTGTACCCTGGAGCCCCTGCAGCCTGCTGTGCCATGCATAGACCCCTCACACAGGTCTGTGGAGACCTGTTCCCAGTGTGCCATGCATGAACCACAGGGTGGCTCAGGCTGACTCCTCTATTCCCACCCAGTGCCTTGCCCAAATTGAGTGAGAAAAAGCAGGCATTTAATGCCTACAAGGCGCAGCGGGAGAAGGAGGAGAAGGAAGAGGCGCGACTGAGGGCCAAGGAGGCCAAGCAGACCTTGCAGCACTTCCTGGAGCAGCATGAGCGCATGACCTCCACCACCCGCTACCGGTCAGGGGCCTGGGCTGGGGCAGGGCTGGGGGACCCTGAGACCACATGTGCCCAGGGCCTCTGGTCTCTGCCTGCCTACCCACAGCTCATGTGCTCCACAGGCGGGCAGAACAGACCTTTGGGGAGCTGGAGGTCTGGGCTGTGGTCCCCGAGAGGGATCGAAAAGAGGTTTATGATGATGTCCTCTTCTTCCTGGCCAAGAAGGAGAAGGTAATAGTCACTGACCTGTTTCCATCAGCCTCAGTCTCATCGTAGAGTCTTCATGTCTTTGCTCCTTATGGACCAGTCATTAATTTTTCTCCCATGCCCCAGGGTCCTAGCTCCTTACTCTGAAGCTGATGTAGCACTTGCACATCCCTTCATTACTGCTCTGGGCCTACAGCCCGGGGCATGGGAGGACAGGAAGGACTCTCTGAGGGGTTGATCTGTAACCTGTGCTCCTTCCCCTTTGTGGGGACATGAAAACCTTGCATCTGGCCCTCCTAGGGTTCCCTAGCTACCTTCTTTTCCCCAAAATCCCCCTCTGCCCAGAACCCCTT